GAAAAAGCAGTGCTTTGCAGCATAACATTAGAAAAAAAAAAAAAACATTGGGAGGAGAGAGGCGGGAGGGGAGAGGCGGGAGGGGAGAGGCGGGAGGGGAGAGAGACAGGTAAGTAGTTGGTGGATGGATTCATTTTGGAAAAGGACATTTTTAAAGATCCCCAAAGCTCAGACACTCTTCCGATAAATTTAAAATGTATCCAAAACAACCAAAAAAAAAAAATGAGAAGACTTTAAAAACTCTACTTTAGAGAAAGTCTGAACTGTAACAACTGCCAAAAAGCCAAGACAAACATCTGTGAAGTGTGCAGCCATGAAATCAGCGAGTGCTGAGCGGCGTTCCTTCAGGCCCCCCCCCCTGCACCTGTGGATTTTGGGATCAGATGAGAGGCTGCCTCCTCCATTTAATGGTTCTCCAGTGAAGTAGTCAGAACACTTGAGGAAATGATGTGTTTCCCATAGGATCTGTGAAAAGCACAGGAAGAACCCGCAGCCCCGGCTCGCTGTACACTTGCACATGCAATTACAGGACGCTCTTTCCCTCGAAGTTTTTTGCTGCGTTCATTTCGCCCCAATATTGTGCACCAAGGTTGGCTGTACGGGGCCCTGTGGTTTCCTATGGGGCCCTGTGGTTTCCTATAGCAGCCCTGGGTGACGGCAAACGAATGAGCGTTCCCACAATCTGCAAAATCAATAGAAATACATTTGGTTGAGCCTACTCTCACCCTATGAGGGTAGGCGCAATAAAATGTAATTTATATTAATGTGACTTTCATGCGACCAGGGGCAGAATAACAACTCATGGGGCCCCCGGGCAATAGGGGATCATGGGGCCCCTGTGTCCTTGCCCAAACTCAAAAAAGCCTATGAAAAAGGTACCAGGGGCATCTCATGGGGCCCCCTACTGACCCTGGGCCCTCGGGCAGTGCCCGAGTTTCCAAATGGTCAGTCCGCCCCTGCATGCGACTGAGGTTTTGAGACTTTGGCCAAAGCGCAAAGTCGTCAAGTCGCAAAGATAAGAAAGAAACAACTTCCTTGCGACTTTTGTCATTTTAAACATTGCAGTCTATGGCATTCCTGTGGCAAGGAAGACGCAGAAAAGCAGTGCAGAAATCTTTTCCCGTTGCTGCGACTTGAGTCGCAGCAAGACAGCACCCGTTACAATGAATGTTTTGACTTGTCATGCAACGTTTTGTGTCGCACGTCACAGCAAGTGTACAATCCAAATGCACACGTTCCTGCGTTAAAAATGGCAATGTGTTGGGTGCTGCAGCAACTATCGGCTGGAACCGAAGAGAATCAGCAAGGGAGGATGTCACCAGCACACCGAGGATCACCAATACGAGTCCAAAAGTTTTAATGAACGATCACATAGTTACAGCAAGGCAATGTTTTGGAGTCTCGAAGGACCCCTTCATCAGGCATGCGACCACGTCACGTCACCGGGCATGCGACCACGTCACGTCACCGGGCATGCGACCACGTCACGTCACCGGGCATGCGACCACATCACGTCATCGGGCATGTGACCACATCACTTCATCGGGCATGTGACCACATCACGTCATCGGGCATGTGACCACATCACGTCATCGGGCATGTGACCACATCACTTCATCGGGCATGTGACCACATCACTTCATCGGGCATGTGACCCACATCACGTCACCGGGCATGTGACCACATCACTTCATCGGGCATGTGACCACATCACGTCACCGGGCATGTGACCACATCACGTCACCGGGCATGTGCCCAACAATTTGACCACATCACGTCACCGGGCATGTGACCACATCACTTCATCGGGCATGTGACCACATCACTTCATCGGGCATGTGACCACATCACTTCATCGGGCATGTGACCACATGTCACCGGGCATGTGACCACATCACGTCATCGGGCATGTGACCACGTCACGTCACCGGGCATGTGACCACGTCACGTCATCGGGCATGTGAACACGTCACGTCATCGGGCATGTGAACACGTCACGTCATCGGGCATGTGACCACGTCACGTCATCGGGCACGTGACCACATCACGTCACCGGGCATGCGAACACATCACTTCATCGGACATGCGAACACATCACGTCATCGGACATGTGAACACATCACATTATCAGGCATGTGTGCAGGGGCGTAGTTACCACAAGGCACTTGCCTAGGGTGGCATTTTTTGGAGGGGGGGGGGGGAAGCACCCCCCCCCCCCCCCCCCCAAGAAGAAGGGATGAAAGAAGGGACACGTGCACCATGGGAATCAGGTGGGATCAGAGGTTGCGGGCTGCTTGATGGCGTATGTATTGCCTGACTCTTGCTCCCAGGGATGTCCGGAGCTGTGAATATGAGTGCAGTGGAAGGCTCTTCTGGGTGGGGGGCACGGGTGTTGTTGGTCAATGTCATTCACTCTCCGCGGGAAGGGGAAGGGGGTTGTATTGGTCGGTGTCCATGGGGTGGGGGGCAGACAATTTTTGTGTTGCCTAGGGCAGCACAAAACCTAAATACACCACTGCATGTATGGTCACATGCCTGATGAAGGGGTCCTGAGAGAGGTCACATGCCTGATGAAGGGATCCTATGAGAGGTCACATGCCTGATGAAGGGATCCTATGAGAGGTCACATGCCTGATGAAGGGGTCCTGTGAGACTCCGAAACGTTGCCTTGCTGTAACTATGTGATCGTTCTTTTGGACCCGTATTGGTGATCCTTGGTGTGCTGGTGACAACATTTCTCCCTCGCACGTCACAGCAAGTTGCAGCCGTGTGAACCAGAGCTAAAGAAAGAAAATTATTTTTATAAAGAATTTTATTTATTTCAGGTACTTATATAGCGCCGTCAATTTACACAGCTCTTTACATATATATTGTACATTCACATCAGTCCCCGCCCCCGAGGAGCGTACAGTCTAAGGTCCCTAACTCACATTCATACATACACATACTAGGGGACAATCTAGACAGGAGCTAGTTCACCTACCAGCATGTCTTTGGAGTGTGAGAGGAAACCAGAGTACCGGGAGGAAACCCATGCAGGCACAGGGAGAACATGCAAACTGCAGGCAGGAGGTGCCATGGTTGGGATTCGAACCAACGACCCGAGTACTGCCAGGTGGAAGTGCTAACCATTTAGCCACTGTGCTGCCCACTTGTTTCTTTTGGACTTTATTAGAACGTCCAACACATTTCCCTCCCCTCCCCCAATCCCATGTATTGGCAAAGCCAGCGCGCAACACTTACAATCAACCTTCCCATTACGAGAGTGGAGTAAAAAAAAAAATGCAGCTGTATAGTAGGAATGTGGCGCCAATGTTACATTTAAAACTCTTTTCAGGGTCCCAGTGGAGCCTTTCAAAGAACTACCCCATCTGGAGTATGGAAATCGTACTCAGGCTTCCATGTGCTGTAGCTGGCTACACTGGACACCACAAAGGCCGGTGGTGGTGGGGGGGGGGGGGTTGGGAAATTGTGGTTTTAGATCATCAATATTTGATTAGGATTTTCCAACGGTTTCCTATAGGGTGCTGACGAGGACTTCTATAGGGTGCAGATCTATACAGACCTCAATAAATCTCATTGAAAACAAGTAGCCAGCCTGAAAAAACCCCCGGAGCCAGCACTACACAATCTTTCTATATAGGTAGCTGAAAGATCCATAGTTAAATATGCCAACGTAAGGCTGGCCATACATTATACAATTTTCTGTCCAATTCCCTTTAGATCAGTGGTTCTCAACCTGTGGGTCGCGACCCCTTTGGGGGTCGAACGACCCTTTCACAGGGGTCGCCTAAGACCATCGGAAAACACATATTGCCGATGTGTAAAGAGCAGCTACTGCGTTGAAGGCAGCTACTGCGTTGAAGGCAGCTACTGCGTTGAAGGCAGCTACTGCGTTGAAGGCAGCTACTGCGTTGAAAGCAGCTACTGCGTTGAAAGCAGCAGTATTGGAGGTAAAACGACACTTCATGAATTATAATTACTGGGTAAATAATTTTATGGTTGGGGGTCACCACAACAGGAGGAACTATAATAAAGGGTCGTGGCATTAGGAAGGTTGAGAAACCACTGCTTTAAATTTACCTTCAACTATGTAGTGCAAGGGCCTGCTTAACCCCCTGACACCGGCGCCTCTCGGCCCTTTAAGGGCTCATTTATACTTGACTTTTTTTCCTACTCTTACCAAATGCCCCTATAGCGTTTGACAAGCATTGGTCCGGCGTTTGCGGAGTGTTTTTAACACTCCAAAAACGCCAGATGCGCGGTTTAGCTGCGGTTGCTAGGCATTTGCCAAGCGTTAAAAACACCCCACAAAACCCCCTATAATGATGTTTGAATGGTGTTAACGCTCCACAAACGCCTCGCAACCGCACCGTAAACGACCGGCCGGGCGTTTGCGGAGCGACACCATAGACTTGAATAGGAGGCTTCAACTCCTCCTGACTCGACCAGAGGCGTCCCTTTTGCCGCGACGCTAACGCTCCCGTTTGAACCGCACTATGCGCTGCAATGTGCAAAATTTTCCCAGGCGTTTGGAAACCGGTAACAAGGCTAGTGTGAACGTAACCCAAGGGGTCCAGAAGCCGGAAGGCGGGGAGGGGGTTCTATGGTCATGTGACCGCCGTGATTCGCTGTCAGGGCGGTCACATGATCGGGAAAGGTCCCGATCGAAAGAGGAGATCGGGACCTTTCCGTGAGTACCGGACATGGCTATCCTGACATTCACATGGGGCCCAAATGGGCACTTGTATTCAATACGCAGGCAACAGTCAACTGTTACAATACGCAGGCAAAAAATTGCCATTATTTACAATACATGGGCAGGAAAATACCTAATTGTGACAATATCCAGACAACAAACAAGCAACAGTGTGACGGGAGTGACTTTGGGTGGGGGGCCCATGGAACACAGCCCCCTTTGGAGGGGTGGGGAGACCCATGTCTCAGCTCCCCATATCCCTATTATGTGTAAGTCACCCTGTGCCTGTTAGGGGTCCTAA